CATTTAGGGTATGCACAAATGTGAACACATGTAGGGTATGCATAAATGTGAACACATGTAGGGTATGTACACATGGTAGTGTATGTACACATGTGCTAAGAGTGTAGTGAAGATACACCCATGCCAATAGTATAGTGCAGGTACACCTGTGTTTACAGTCTGGTGTACTGTAAGGTCACAGTGTAATGTAATGTAGGCTTAGAATACTACTGGCTTACACTATAGTATATTGTAGACACATCTGTGTTTACAGTATAGTATACTGTAGTTACACTTATTGTCTTACTATTGTTTACACTTGTGTTTCAGAGGGTAGTGCCGTATATTTACAGTGGGCACATTGTTTTTGCACAACAACTGCAAATGCAGCAACAACAACAACAACCAAAACTGAAACTGTCAGACCAACTATCAGTTCAGTCTTGCCTCCATCTTTCTCTTGTCTTGGTGGCCCTGCAGGTGAGAAACAGGTGTGAGGTGTCAGCTGTCAGGTAGGTGATGAGTGAAGAACAGAACAGAATCCATTTCCTCTTCAAACTGCTGTCAGACATTATCTACTGCATTCTGATCACATCACTCAGACCAGCTGCTTTCTACAAAGTCTCATCAACAACATCTTTAGAAACAAACAACAATCAGGAAGCAGCTTCACCTCTGATCACACACACACTCAACTCTACTCACTCACCTGGAGGATCAACAACACTCAGGCTGAAGGTGCAGATGGGATCACTGTCCAGATATGCTCTCTTCCAGCGTTTTCTGCTTATGCGAACCTGATATATACCAGCATCAGCAGTCGTAACATTCTTCAGAATCAAAGACACGTTTCCATCTGTCATCTGATTGTCCTGCAGAACCACCCGGTTCTTAAAAGACTGATGCTGTTTGGTAGGATCAGATTGATTGTCCCGGTACAGAAGGACATATTTTTTCCCCAGATCAGGTCTACTCCACTCTAGGCCAATAATGGTTTTACCATTTAAAGCTTGACATGGCAGAGTTGTGTTTTTGCCAAACACAGCAGTCACATTTATCCGGTCTGAATGAGAGAAAAAAGAGAAAGGCAATATTGACTTCTAACCCAGCCAACCACAGTGTGAAAACCTAGAGTGAGAAAGCCCTGATTACCCAAACCCCCTGCTGAATGGAAATAGTGAGTTTACATTTGACACAATCACATCAGTTTATCTTAAAACTATTTGTAAAAATATGGCAAATTTCACCGTTTTGGGTGATATACTCAAAGTCCAGCATGCTGCAGGCATGTCCCCATTTTTACAAACACAAAAGCTATGAAGTTTCAACAAGGGGATTAAAAACCCAAGCAAAAGTCATTTGATACATTTCCACATCTTCAGCTGATATCCATCCACAACATTATTAAAAAAAACAAACCCTGCCATTACTTAGTTTGAGTTCTTTTTTCCCCCCAACACAGACTTGATGTGTTTACTGTAGGTGTGCAGTCGCCTCATTTTGAGCAAGCAAACCCTGACTGGGACTACTGCTCTGAATAGGAGTTAGTTTACCATTAGGGAACAGTTTGTTTTAATAGATTACGAAATAAGTAATCCTTCTTATAATCCTACTGCTAGTTCGAGACAACTGAACCCAATAAAATCAACTATTATTGTGTTAAAGTGTCTTGAATTATTATAAGTGTCTCCACATAGATGTTTTTTCATCAAGCAAGAAGTCTTCTGGAGATAAAAAAAAAAAAAAGGCCTACACATGATGTCTGCAGCTCAGCTTCAAACCAGATTCTTACAGGACACTTCACTGGTTTGAACAATGGAGGGATGCCTCAATTGTTTTGCATTTTGCATTTAGATTTTACAGCGCAAAGTGAAAAAAGAAAAAGAAAAGTAAAAGTAGTATTCGTACTATGTTTATTTTACCAGTGGTGTATTAGAAATAATGAAAGGATTTAAAAAGCAGCTAAATGGACCCTTTAAATGAATTGACTCAATTTTATGAGCAATTAAATTCCCAAATAAAACTAATGTTTTTACCAGGAAAATAATACATGTGTAGAATATGTGATACTAGTAGCGGAGGTCATGGCTTTTTCCTTTGAAATACTGTATCACACACAAAATTCAAGACTCACATATGATTATATTATACAGATACACATAAATTTTTAGGACTTTAGCCCAAAACTCCTGAAAATGTACTTTTGTGTAGTCTAGGAGGAAGGCACGACTCGTTTGTGTTTTGGAAGCACATATTCTACTTTTTAAACGAATCTTGTTAATTACAATTAACATAAAAATTTTACATTTTATATATAATATATATTATATTATATTTTAGTATGAAAGCTCAGATCCTAAATATCTAGAATCATCATGTTGACATATGTAAAAATATACTCAGGGGTTGTTTATTCCTCCATTAACTATGATCATAATTAATCATTAATAATCATTAGTAAACTCCAGACATGGACGCCAGAATTCCAATGAATTTCATTTAACCTCTGCAAAGAAATCAGTCGTGAATTCAATGAGTTGTGAGGTTTTTTTCTGGGTGTGTGTGTTCAATGAGGCCTTTGAACAATACAGCGGCTGGTGGCGCAATTCCAAAGAACTTCTTTTTAAAATTTTTGTTGTGACACTGCTGCCCAGGTCTCCCTTGAAAATCGATTTTTAATCTCAATAGAATAAAAAAAGATTCGGGCTAGGCCCAAAGTCATTTTCTATATCAGAAAATAGTTTAACTCACCACCGGAGGAAGAAGGGATGAAAATGGCCAGTAAAATCAACCGGAGCCAGAATGAAGACGTTGCATCAGACATTTCAGCTGTCCGAAAAACTGAACGGAATGAAAGATTAATGATTAAATTGAATCTACCGAGTCAAATTAGTTCAAATTTAAACGTAAAGATGTTAAAAGTTTTTGGTCATCTCCTTTCACTTAAATAGTTTTTTCCAAAGAAACATCTGAAGAAACAACAGCTCGCACCATATAACATTAACATAGAGTATACGGCGGCATGCAGGAAGCATGAGGGAAACATCGACACGTAAAATTACTGACACAGAGTTTCTCATCATCCTGTGAAGTCAAATTAAAGCTGTCATTAAAGCAAGAACAAACCTTGAGTCGACATGTAATCGAGATTGTAAAATTCCACAGTAACACAACGAGTTACTTCCGCGAACACTTAGGTGCGCTCCTCTTTACCTTTAGGGATCACGTGATTTCTTGTAGCTGTGACAACCACTTCTACCAGGTAGACACGTAAACGCATTTTTTTTTTTTTTGCTGTTGTTGTTTAATCTTACAATAAAAATCAATGTATCTCCAGTTTGAGGTCAATCATATTTTTTTAATGAAAAACAAACTTGTGTTTCACAATCGAATCATTCCACCTGTAGTGCATATACACCTGTAGTGGTTTAGAGTATAGCGCTATAATCTAAACCAGCGGTCCCCAACCCCCGGGCCTCGGACCGGTCCCGGTCCCGGTCCGCGAGTCGTTTGGTACCGGGCCGCGAGAGTTGAGGCTCAGGTGTGAAATGTGTGGTTTTCAGGGTTTTTATCGGTTTTCAGCGTTATTTTGTTATCGTTTTTATCGTTAACTCGGTTTAACTGTCTTTTCACGTATGTTATGAATAAATCTTCTTTTTTTTCGGTACCGGTACTAGTTT